GCACAGGGTGATGGAGTAAAACAGTATGAGTGCTTCTGATGGAGATTAGGAAGCAGAGTTTTGTATGCTCTGTTCCTGAAACTCACACAGATTTAGCAAGTAGTCCTGCAAACTTCAGTCACTGTATGCTCATTGGGACTGGGAAGGAATGCCATCAGTCATTGAAGGTATTTCCTGTATGAATTCCATATGCATTTCTGTTTGGTGTTTTTAAGAGAAAACCAGTAGAGACTACTGGAAAGAGAATAGTATCATGAATTACATATGAATTTGAGATCTGAACCACAGCTAAAATATATTCTCTGGCAAGTTCAAACTACTCATTCTTACTCTTCTAATAAAATAGTGAGAGCAGACACCCTCTTCCTGTTCCTGATTTTAGGAAAAAAAACTCATTTTTTTCCATTCAGTATGATATTGGCTATAGGTTTCTTTTATATGGCTTTTATTATGTTGAGGTATGCTTCCTCTATTGCCACTTTGCTGCTTGTTTTTATCATTTATTGATTATTGATTTTATCCATTTCTTTCTCAGCATCTGTTGATATGAGCATGTGGTTTTTTGTCCTTCATTTTGTCCATGTGGTATCTTATGTTGTTAGCAATTTTAAGAAAGAAGAACAAAGAAGGAAAGATCACAATACCTATATCAAATTATACTACAATGCCAAAACAGTCTGGAACTGGTATAAGAACAGACACATAGATAAATGGAACACAATAGAGAACCCAGAAATAAACTAAAGTCTCTTTGATCAAATAATATTTGACAAAGAGGCATGAGCATACAACAGAATAAAGAAGTCCTCTTCAGTAAATGGTGTTGGGAGAAATGGACTAGTAAATACAAAAATAATGAAAGTATACCAAAAAATTAACCACACACGAGAATAAACTCAAAATGGATAAAAGGCTTAAAGATAAGTCATAAAGTCATAAAGGAAAACACAGACAGGAAAATATCAGATATCCTGCATAGCAATATTTTCCAATACATCTCATAAGGCAAGGGAAAAAAAGGAAAACATAAACAGATTGGAATATATCAAACTGAAAAGCTTTTGCATGGCTAAAGAAACCATCAGCAAAATGAGAGAGGATGTATAAAGGTCCCATAGACAAAGACAATGGTGGGGGAAGGTTGAATATAGGATGTGAGGGGTAGTAAGGCAGAGGAGACTAGTAGGGGGAAATGGGGACACTGTAATTCAACAATAATAAAAAATAAAATTTTAATGAAATTTGACTGACTAAGGGAAAACATATTCACCAATGCTACATGTGACAAGGGTTTGATCTCCAATATATAAACATATCATACAACTGAAAACCAGGAAGATAAACAATCCAATTAAAAACTGGGCAAAGGATCTAAATAGACACTTCTCCAAGGACAACATACACATGGCCCATTGACTCATGAAAACATGCACAACATCACTAGTCATCAGAGAGATGCAAATTAAAATCACAAAGAGATACCACCTCATTCCACTCAGAATGGCCATCATAAACAAATCAACAAACAACAAGTGCTGTTGAGGATGTGGGGAAAAGGGTACCCTAGTGTACTGTTGGTGGGAATGCAGACTGATACAGCCAATGGAAAACAGTATGGAATTTCCTCAGAACACTAAAAATGGAACCACCTTTTGATCCCAGGATTCGGCTGCTGGGAATATACTATAAGGATCCCGGGTCACCAATTCAAGACAACTTATGCATCCCTGTATTCATAGTGCTGCTATTTAGAAGCCAAGTGCTGAATATAACCTAAGTGCCCATCAGTAAATGAGTGGATAAAAAAAAATGTGGTACTTTTAGACAATGAATACTAAGCAGCAGAAAGAAGGAAAAAAAGTCCTGTCATTTTTGATAGCATGGACAGAACTGGAGAATATTATGCTGAGTGAAATAAGGTACTCAGTGAAATGTACATACCATATAACCTCACCTATAAGAGGAATCTAATGAACAAAATAAATTAATGAACAAAATAGAACCACAGGCATGGAAACGTGGAACAGATGGAAAGTAACCTAGGGGAGGTGGTACAAAGATAATGGTGGAAAGAAGGGAAAAGAACTAAACAAAAAACATGTATGAATGACCCATGGACATGGGTAACAGTGTGGGAAATGACTATAGACATAGGGGGAGGACTGAAGGGCTATGGGGGAAAATTGGGACAATTGTAATGGAATACCAATAAAAATGATTAAAAACTCACAATAAAAAGAAGTTAAGGTCTAAACAAATAATTTCAAGATCTAGTAATCCAATCACAGTTACGTTGAGTGTTGAGTTTGCCAGTAAGTTGTTTGGATGAAGTCTATAGCAGATGAGGAGAACAGAACAAAAATGAGAAATAAGTATTATAAAATCAAAAATAACCTAGAGCCAGAACATAGAGTAAAAACATTCCTCTTTCATAGACTACCTACGGTTATCCTTGGATGACATGCATGTTTTATAATCTCTGTAAACTTCTGTTTTTATATCAAAATCAGTTTTCCATTAATGGTTTCTCCAATCTGGAACTCAATGAAAAAATTTCCTAATGTGTCACACGCAAAAGTTTGTGAATAAATTAAATTCATCATTTAAATCTTTAGTGAGTTTTTTAAAAATTTAAACTTCATTGTATTTTTTCCATTACCATTTAGTCCCTTTATACCAACCTCACCCTGTCTGCAATCAATCACCACACTGTTGTCTGTGAGTCCTTTCTCCTTTTTGCTCAGGCCCTCCACTCCCTAAACCTGTCACCCTGGACTGACTGTCATCTACTTGCCATCTATGAGTCTCTCTCTGTTTTGCTTGTTTGTTCAGTTTGTTCAGTAGATTCTACATATGAGTGAAATCATATGGTATTTGTCTTTCCCTGACTGGCTTATTTTAATAGACAATGGAATACTAAGCAACAGAAAAAAGGAAGAAAGTCCTGTCATTTTTGATAGCATAGATGGAACTGGAGAATATTATGCTGAGTGAAATAAGCTAGTCAGTGAAATGCATATACCATATAATCTCAAGTACCATAATGTTCTCAAGATCCATCCAGGGTGTTGCAAAAGGTAAAATTTTCTTCTTTTTGATGGCTGAGATTTCCATTTTGTAAATGTCCCATAGTTGTTTTATCCATTCATCTACTGATGGACACTTGGGCTGCTTCCATATTTTGGCCATAGTAAATAGTGCTGCAATGAACACAGCAGGGCTTATGTTCTTGGGAGTTAGAGTTTTGGCCTCCTTCTAATATAATCCCAGAAGTGGAATCTCTGGGTCAAAAGACAGATCTATTTTTAACTTTTTGAACTGTCTTCACCAGTTTTCCACAGAGCTGCATCAGTCTGCAACCACACCAACAGTGCAAAACGTTCCCCTTACCTCCACATCCTTGATAGGACTTGTTGTTTGTTGATTTATTCATGACAGGCATTCTGACAGGTGTGAGATGGCATCTCATTGTGGTTTTAATTTGCATTTCTCTGATGCTTAGTGATGCTGAGCATCTTTTCACATGTCTATTGGTCATCTGTATGTCCTCTCTGAAGAACTTTCTATTCATGTCCTTTGCACATTTTTAATTGGGTTTTTTTTTTGGTGTTCAGTTCTGAAAGTACTTTATATATCTTGGATATTAACAGCTTCTCAGATGTATTGGCAAATATGATCTCCTATTCTGTAGGTTGTCTTTTAATTTTGTTGATGTTTTTCTTTGCTTTCCAAAAAGGTTTTAGTTTCATGAGTTCATCTGGCTTTTTTTCCCTTTTGTTTCCTTTGGCTGGGAAGATATATCTCATAAGAAATTTTGATAAGTAATATTTGAGATTCTGCCACCTATGCCACCTTCTAGGATTTTTGAAGTTTTGAATCTAACATTTAACTAACTTAGTTAAATGACAATCTAACTTAGTTAAATGATAATCTAACTTAGTTTATCATGACATATAACTGAAAGATTCATTTTGAATTTATTCTCCCATGGGATGCGAGAAGGTGATCTAGTTTCATCTTTCTGCACATATCTGTGCAGTTTTCCCAACACCATTTATTGAACATACTGTCCTTAGTCCATTTTGTATGTGCTTGCTCACTCTGTCGATCATTAATTGACTATAAAGGTGTGGGTTTACTTCTGGGATGTATGTTCCATCAATTTATGGTGTAAAGAGATGAAACTCAATCTTTTTTGACTGAGCTAGGATCCATATATTTCAACTGCATTGTCAATGTTCACCCAGTACACAGTGGTCTATGCTACAGAAGACTGCTAAGGAGGCAGATAACAAATTTCTGTATTTTATAATTACAAAACTGCATACAAGGGAAGAGAACAAAAACTCATCAAAACCTGGACTTTTGTTAAACTATACCCTATTTATGGTGGAACATACAGAAAAAGAGACTGTAAAAAACTTTTCTGGAAAAATGTTTCAAGGAATAAAACCATTGAATTTAGATGTATTTTTAAAGAACCAGGGATTGAGTGGCTCTCACTCCAATACAACTAAAGTTCATAAAACTTTACTAATCACACTCTCATTAAGATAAATATGTGGACTCTGTTAGTGTTTATGTATTTTCATGTAGCTGATACAGTAGTTTATAAGGTGAATGTAAATTTCTCATTAGGTACAATTTCCTTTTGGAGTACAAAACAGTAGTGTCTGTTATAGAGCATATATTTAGAATCTCACTCTTTGGTGGTGGTCATCAGTGGTAATAGTGGTCTTTTTTTGCTAAGGTTTACCTTATATTCTGTGCAAAATCAGCATGGGCCTTTAAATTATGTTTCTCACTCATCTCTGTTGAAAAAAAAAAGACAGAAAGGAACCAATGACTCTGTGATAAAGGATGCAGATAGTGAAACCTGAGTCTTAAATGTGAACTATTTTCTCACATCTTCATGTGCAGCTGAGCAGCACTGAAGGCTCTTGGGAAACCAGGGCAGATAACATAGGGAGCCCAGAAGAATCACCTTCTTTGCCAGAACACGCACATCCAGCCCATCCACCTGCAGGGGCTCATCTCTTCTATTTGGACCAGACTCCACTGGAGCGAAAACTCTACTGCACTGACACAGGTATCGCCAACTAAATCTATAGCTGTGGCTCTCAGCGCATATCACTGTTATTACTGCCACTTGATTGCCTATACAGAGCACAGAGAAAAGATTGTTTTTTAAAATAACCAATACATTGAATATTGTAGGCAAATGAGCTGAACCATTCAAGTTCAAAAATTACAAGTGAATTACCTCCTATACAGTTTTCTTAGTTTATCATGACATATAACTGATAGTTTCTTAGCATATCTTTTGAATTAACCAAATGCATCAATAGAGTAAATGGTCATGTCAATGAGGACAAGATATGAGAAATTAAGTAAATATTTAATTAATTATCAATTTTTTTCTCTATATAGTAAGATGTTATTCTATTTCATATCTACATCTAGACTTTGCTAATTTATGTGATATATGTTCACATTACTGATATATTCCAGACTTGGTAAAACATTTTAAAGGCATTATACATGTATATCTGTAAATCAGGTTTTCTTATGAGATGTTATCTTGTGGTAAATGATCAAAAAGCATAGTGAATATTGTGAACAAACTGAGGCCTATATATTTTAGTCACATCATAAAAGATAAGTGGAGCATAATGCTGAGCAAGTAACACCAAACAAAATGAGTTTAAGTTGATGATACACTGGGAAACTGGTGAGATTAAAAATTTAATATTTTTTCTGCAATAGAATTTTATTTCTATACATTTCTTTGTTGATTACTGAGATATTTAAAATACTTGAAACAAATTAATTCAATTTTTAACATTTGAAAGTAAAATTGATATTTCAAGCAAGATTAGTTGACTTTAGCCTATGCCTTCAAATACCATGGACATAAAACCACTCACCACATGGGAGTACAGCTCAGTCAACATCAGTCCTAAATGTAAGACATTCATTTTCAATGCCACATTGAAAATGATGAGAACAATCTCTTAAAATATAATAGGAATCAAATTATGTTTGAATCATTAATTAAAGGTAAAGATAGACAGAAAAAATATTAGGAGGGATCATGGAGATATTTGCTAATAACATCATGTAACATGATATATTTTTAAAATACAAATGACTCATAAAATTTTTCTTAGAAATTTTCTGGGATAGGGAAAATTGTTTAATGTTGTGTGTGTGTGCATGTGTGTGTGTGTATTATTGACTATAGCATTGTTAACCTTTTACATTGAATTAAATGTTGTATTTGGATAAGTCCAGGCATAGTTGGTGAAAATGACAATACCCAAGTATGTAAAGAAAAATGGTAACTGATAATTTTGAGAAGGGGAAAGAAAATTATCTAAAGCAAAAAACTCTCATGGAAAAGATACTGCAAAAGTAAAATCATTCATCAGTAGTTAAATGCTATGAAATGACAATTTTCATTATATATGGACAACCTAGAAATGACAGAAACTGAAAACTAATTTAAAAAATGGTCAATTTATGTCTTTTAGAATTGTACCTCAAAATTTTTCAGAGATGAATGAAAAAAATACAACGTATGTAGATTTGAAACACCTTCCTTCCACAAAACACATCCAAAAAGAAAGTGAGTTTTTTTCCCAGTCCCTATTGAATTCTGTTATTATTTTCTCTTACTTGTTAAATAATTTTGCTAAAGATTTTTTTCTTAGTTTAGCACATGACACTTTATGTCTAACATCTTCTCAGAATTTTGCCATTTATAAGATTTGTGTGATGGACTTTGCCTAGTCTGAAGAAAACAATTACATAGATGTTTTTATTTGGAAAAAATCTTAGTCAACCAGCCTCACACATCTTAATAACCTCCCTGTTTCTGAGAATACTGTAAATAAAAAGCAATGACCACATCTCTCTTTCAATCTCCAGAGATAAAAGAGTCGGTAATTTACTCAGAAGTGAACAAATCTTCTTCAAACTGCAGTCAGACAAAGATAACAAGGAATAAATCCCCCAAAGGAAAAGGTAAAATTTGTGTAGAGGACCCAGCTTACATGGCCTCTATTTGTGTACCTGTGTGAATCTAATTCAACCACCATTAGTCACAAACCACGCTCGCTGTAACTGAGTTAGCCTGCCCAGTTTCATGAGGCTTTTTAAACCATATTTTATATCTATAGTCCTTCAGAAAAACCACTGTGGAAAATTAAATATCCATATTTAGTATATTCCAGGTAATTAATGTAATTTGGGTGTTCTGTACATATGTGCATAACTGAGCAAGTCACGTAGGAAAATTATTTCTTTTCAACTTGTTTGGAAACAATTATGAATCTCCTGATGTCATTATCACTCATTCTACTAAGTTGCAAGAAACAGTATTTGATGAGCATTATTTGATACGTGTTTGTAATTATAATTTCTTCTGTGCAGTAGCTGAAGTTAATCCTGATTTTGAACAGTAGTTAGTAAGGCTCCAATGAGAAAATTATAATATGTTTGGAAGTTTTTATTATTACCAAAATAAGAAATATCTTATGAGAGTGGATCAATAAAAGTGATGTATACAGATATATTTTAGAAGTGTATTTGCAGTTTTAACACAATGTCTCTATATCTAATATTCCACTTTGTATTCATAAATCATTTAGATGGGGCAGGGGATAATTTTGGTAAAGTTAGAATACATGACTTCCTGAAGAGAAGCACAACAAAGAGAATAAGGAGCAGAATGCAGGCATCCAATTCTCCACTCACTGTTGTTTCATATTGTTCAGTACCACACTCAATTGATAATTTCAAGTTTGAAGACATTCAAGAGGTAGGGTCTTGAATCTCTCAAAAGTGCCCCACTGAACTCTGCTTTTTAATTCAGTCTTGTCTTTGCAGAGTTACTCAATCTCTCTTTTTTATCTCTGAGCAGGGTCTTCAGTTCCATTTACCTGGAGTCTCACTGTTGTGATCCTTGGAATCTTCTGCTTCTTGTTCCTTGTAACAACTGGAATTTTGGGACTCGTGGGTAAGTTCAATCAGCCCTGTGCCCTGAACTGTGTACATCATCCCTTAGGACTTACTCCTCTACTAGTATTTCTTTCCTACTAGGTCCATTGTTGTGATCATCACTTCTAAACAAGAAACCCTTCCACCTACACCACTAAAGTAATCGCTTCACCATTTCAAAGTTCTTTAAAACTTTTCACTTCTTTACTCATCAATACTGGGTCATGTTCAGAATATTGCCAAGAAAGCTCCTTTGAGGTGTTTGTGATGGTCGATCATGCTGTGTGCATTAATTTTCACTCTCCTCTCTGATGCCTTCTTACAAGAAACTGTCAGCCTCCTTGGATTCACCATTGAATCTTCAGTCTGCAGCTTAAATTTACTTCATAAATAGTTTATTCTTGTAAAGACCTACTACAACACAACAATATATTCCCTCTATGCTACTGAAATTGCCTCCTAAATTATGCTAAATTCAACACACTTCAAAATACTCTTCTCCAAATACCTCTGACCATGTATCTAAATGCCAAGAAATCACTAGAGATATTCTCTACTGAATTATGGTAAAACTCCATTACTGATGGTTGCTTTCATAATTTTCATCTTTTTCACTCAAATAACTTTAAGTTTAGATTCCCATGTCCAATTTAGCCTCAAGTAACTCTAGCTCACTTGCTCTTACCCTCAAGTTCTCTAAGTGTCTCTGTCCCAGCACATCTGTCTGTCTGCCATTCCTTTCTGCTGGACTGCCTTCCACCTGTAGCCTGTCTCTGCCAGTGAAGACCATGCCCATCCTCAAACCCATTTGGTAAAATAGTAAAGACTTTTCTAAATCCTCCATGATTATTACCTAATTACCTAACCAAGTGTTGATTCTTCATTCAAAAGACTCATTTTTTTCACCTTTTCTCATTTTCATCTTGTAATTTTTACCCTGGATTAGGGTTTCCAAACCTCAGCACTATTGACATTTGGGTGGGATAAATCTTTGCTAGGGATGTTGTTTGTGAATTATAGGATATTAACAGCATCCTCGTCCTCTGATTACTAGAGGATAGTAGTCACATCCAAACTGACTTCAGATATGGCCAATGCACCCTGGAGGGTAGAATTATCCCGCATTGAGAACCACTGCTCTGGAACATTTTCCTCTCATGTTAGAGACTGTGAGTGACTCAAATATGAGTAACCAGCAAGTCGTGCATTAAAGGCGGTTTTAGTCATATACAGTGTATATAATCTCTGTATATTTTTAAAGAACACCATCCCGTTTAATGGCCTTGACTCTAAGGTTCCTGGTTTGCGAATCAAGCTCTTAGATTTGTGTGTGAAATTTATTGACATATAATTCATCTATGTAATTCACCTATTTACAGGGTAATATCCAATGGCTTCTAATATATTCAAATGGTAAAATCATAATTATAATCAATATAGAACATTTTTATCCCCTCAAAAGCAGCCCTATATTCATTAACACTTGGTTCCCATTTCCTTTCAAATTACACAGCATGAAACAATCACTAATCTACCTTCTATCTCTATTGATTTTCTTATTGTGATCATCTATAAAATGCAATCATATAATACATTACCTTTTCAGGCTGGGTTATTTCAATTAATGTGATGTTTCCAAGGTTCTTGCATACTGGAATGTATCAATGTGGCCTTGCTTTAAGCATTCAAAAATATTATATTGTAGGGTATGGATATAATATTATGTATGTTATTCTTATCAGATAATACATTTTCAAATGATTTTTCCCATCCTTTTGGTTATCTTTTCATTCTCTTGATGTTAACTTTTAACTCACTGAGGTTTGTAAATGTAAAGTCTTGCTGGTGTCTCACACTATTCTGGAGCTCACATTGTCAGCCAGTTTCTGCTGGGTTCAGCAGCAACACTGAATTACTTGTGTCACCCATCATGTAGTCCCCTACAGTCTTCCCATCACAGTGAGTGAGTTTCTTCTAACCTGAACCATTCCATTTTTTATTGTTGTATCCAAGATCCACTAAGATGTGTTATCATTACCTAATGTTTTTTCAATAAGTGATATATGAATATGTAAATCAATGCAGAGAAGAGGTGCCTAAAGTGGACAGAAATGAAAATGCTCCCTACTACTGAACATGAACTAACATATTAAAATTAAAACTATGCTTATTATTCAGTCCCATGTTATGTTCTCCTTGAGCTAATGATGTCCAGTAAAGTTTTCCAGGGTCATCATGAGTACCAGCCACAGAAACCACCACTGGACAACGTTACACAGGAAGACAATTCCATGTTGAAAAACATAACTTTCATAGAGGAACTGCTTCACACAGGTATGCAGATAAATAACTTGAAGACTGAGACCAAGGTTTTTCTCTGCTCTCCTCAGTCACCTGATATCCTGTTCAAATTGGACTTTTTATGCATAAATAATTGCAGGATCCAAACTTAATTTTTACTTAATTGAACAAGAAGAAAATCTACCTTTCCCAGAGATTAGATTTTATTGTTTGTACAATGTTATATTTCTTCAAGTTAGATACCCGTTCTCCAAATAATATTTTTTCTACAGAAAACAAACAAAAAATAAAAACAAAGTCTTGTTTCATATTTTCTAATCATTATTACACCTCTCAGTATGGGTATGCAGTCAGGGAATAAGTTCAACTGTCTATGTACCTACAGATTTTACTCAGTCTAGAGAATTCAAAGAAGTTGCTTTTCATCATTAAGTCCTTTTTGTCAAAGTTGTAGGGAAAATGTCAATCTTAGAAATTCTTCTTAGAAAAATGTTTAAATATTATGCATAGAATCAGTGAAAAATTTAAGTAATATAACTCCTCCCAGGCCAGAGATTTTATTTAGAAAGCTGAAATGAAGCCCATCAATATCATTAAATAAATGTTTTTAGAAGGACTAGAAAGGATCTATCAGTGTCTCATCCTCAGACTCCCCTTTTAAGATACACACTGGGTAATATCTTTTCTTTTCAAGGAAGTAAGAGCAGCACATGTGAGAGAAAACGGGCATGCAGTGGAGAGAAGTGTTATTATTTTTCATGTGATTTGAAGACCTATGAAGACAGTAAGAAATCCTGCAAGAAAATGGGCTATAAACTTCTTAAGATAGAAGATGAAAAAGAACTGGTGATATATATTTTCTGTTTATTTTTAAGATTTTACCCATTTGTTATTAGACACAGGGGAAGGACGGGGTAGAGGAACATGGATGTGTGGGACAAATATTGATCAGCTGCCTCCCACAGGCCTCCAACCAGAGACCTGTCCACAACCCAGGTTTGAACCCTGACAGGGAATTGAAACAGTGAACTTGCAGTTTGAAAAATGACGCTTAACCCATGAGCCACACCTCTCAAGACTGTCTATTTTCAGTTTCGAGCTCACACCATACAGCATTTATCTAGTCATTATTGGCTAAGTATTATGACCAAGAATACTTGAGTTTCTCTGCACTGCTTACAGTTGTAAAGTGACTCAGATGCAGACAGTGTTCATACTACAGTCAGAAATGCAAATGGAAATTAAATTAGAATTTTATTTAATTCATCTACTCCAAATTAAAATCTCCACAACACTGCAAATGTAAAGTCAAACATAAACCAGTGAGGACAAATCTGTCCTTACAATACATTTTTCTCATGGGTAATTGCACATCTTATATTAATTATTTTATAAAATGGGCCTTCTGTCTCTCTGCAAAAAATCATTATACTTTCAGCAAAATCAAGAAATATAGCGTTGTCACTAAGCTTGAGGTGAAAAGAAAACCTCTATATGAATTGAAGTTGAAGGTCAATTATTTCTAATCACATTACATTTTAACTCACATTAGCCTCCAAAGAAAACTGAACTGACTGTTTCATGATTTTTATCATTCTATCTGGCATTGAATATGGAATTAACTTACCTAAAAAATAACATATCCTAACATTCCAGGTTAAGAATAATTTTTAGTATTCTCTCAACAATACAATAACAGACATTAAGGATCACTCTATTTCCTATAATAGTCCAATTATATACTTCCTTGGTTTTCAACAATTCCAAAGCCTGTAAAATATATGAAACTGAAAACTATTAAGTAAACAAAGAAAAACTTGAATCCAGAAAGAAAAAAATTACAGAGTCTGAATTAACCTCTTTTTCACTCCAGCAGAAAACTACATGTATGATCACAGAACTTAACTAGACTTAATGTAGTGATCATTTTGAAAATATACTAAGAGCAAATCATGATGTTGTATACCTGAAACTAATATAATCACATATGCCAATTTTCAAAAACAGAACATTGCAATTGTCATTGATAGAATAAATTTTAGATGTCCTATTTATTACTGAAAAGGTAAAGAGCTTGCACAAAAATGTTGAATATTGGCCAGGTAAGGGAGCTAATGTGATGTCTTAATATCTATGTGTTTTACATAAATATATCATGACATTTTAGTGAGAAAAATATTTATAGGTTTCTTCAATGAGAACTATAGAATTTAAATGGGTGATAACCAGATTTTCAGAAATATTTACATAACTACACTCACACAACCATGAATTTCTACAGAAACATTAGCAAAGTGAAAAGTGTTTGCCTATGGAACTTTGGGATTTTAAGAGACTCTATACCATTACATAGTTTGTGTAGCCTCAACCTTTTTACAGACTCACAGAATTTCAAAATACTACTCTAAATGATACTGTATTCAATAATCCTCTTTTTGATTTTCCACTGTTAATGCATCATTTGACAAAAAAAAAATCTTAACTTTGGGTTCCATGGATATACAGAGGTTCCAAGAATGAGTTTCAGAGTCTAGGGGTCCTAATTTTCCTCCAGAGTAGCTTAATTGTTAAATAAAGACACCTGTGAAAATCCTCACATTGAATGCTAAATTTTATGTCTACACTCATATATGAATTTGTTTTCTGGTCTGTAATGTCTAATATAGTGGTCTAAGTTTGTCTAATATGTGTCTACAGACACATATATGTGCTTTCTGCCCTCTGGGTAGAGGAACTAATCTTTTGCCATATTCACGAAGATGTGGTAAACAAAAAGAAAACTGGGAGTACTTTCTTTCCACCATATTTAGGAAGATCAAGTGAGAGAATATATGTGCATATGATCTTTAAAAATTAAAGTGCAAGATGAACATCATTTACTTTATTACTTATTGAATAACTTATAGCCAGCCATTAATTATATATAGACACCTCACATGATGAGTAAGGGATGTTTCCTCAAGATGCTGATTTTGCAGAAAATAACCACAGTCCTTGTGGAGCAAAAATAGACAGCAGTGTTAGTAGTAATCTCATACATCTGATGCCTAGAGCCCAAAGTAGAAATCAGACTTTGATCCAAACTCATCTTTGAGTTACACAAATGAGTTCCAAAGAACGAGATTTCGGTAATAAGTCTAAACAAACATGGCTAAACTAAGGGGGTGGTTTACTGCTTGAAATAAGTCCTTATATTTAATATTTAGTAAATGAATATTTTATATCACCTATGTGTTTCTATTCTGGGTTAAGCAATTTAATAAAGTACCGAAACTGAGATTACATTATTTTATAATCAGAATGCAATCAGGAGGTAGTTGATCTCTATACTTTTAGTTATTCACAAAAAATAATATTAAAAGATTTTTCCTCATAGAATATGTTTCTTTTATGACAGAAGTTCATTCAAATCCAACTGTCCTCTAAGTCCTTTTATTCTTGGATTGGATTGACCTGTAAAGGAGCCAACAATTTCTGGACATGGGAAGATAACTCACCAACCTCATTATCCTCACTGCTCTTTGTCACAAAGTAAGTCTCTAGAATAAAAACAAAGTCAGAAGGTCTATAATCATAGGTTTTCATTTATATTTCTAAGTGTATAGGAAACATCCATCCATATATATATATATAGGCATGTATACATGCATGTTCATGTACATACACATGTACACACACACAACACAGCACTTAACTTTAGTAAATGAGCACATGGAGAGACAGACTTTTTCAACTTTATGCCTATATCCTTCATGAGTTATTCTGTAAGGAAACCTAGAGCTCCAAGAGATAGTTTCTATAAATTAGCAAAAATCTGGCACCATAGCCATGGCACAATATCACTTATTGTGTCTGCAATAGTAAATGAATATTTTACTTCATCTGTATGTTTCTATTCTATGTTAACCAACAGGCAACAGACAAAGGCTGGAAGCTGTGTGAGGATAACAGCAAGGAAGACTGAAGTTTCTGACTGTTCCAGACCCTCACACTATGTTTGTGAAAGAAGATTGCAGGTCATGCTACCTAATAATGAGAACAAAAAAGCAACCACAGAAGACAAATACAGAAAATTTTCCTCCTAAAAATGCAGATTCTTGGAAGTCCTAGTATCTCTCTTTCATTTCAGAATATCCTTGGATTTTTTTTAATGGGCTCTACCAGTATTCTAGCCTCTGCATTAGATAAGGCTGGAATAGTGGGTACATCACAGTGAGATACACCAGACCCTCCACTTCTGCCCTATCACATGAAGACTGCAAAATTACCATGAGTATGAGCACAGGGTGATGGAGAAAAAGAGGATGAGTGCTGTAATGGATATTAGGAAGCAGAGTTTTACATGCTCTGTTCCTGCAACTCACACAGATTTAGCAAGTAGTCATGCAAACTTTAATCACTGTATACACATTGGGGCTGGAAAGTAATGCCATCAGTCATTGAAGGTATTTCCTGTATGAATTCCATATGCATTTCTTTTTGATTTTTTGCTTTTTAAGAGAAAACCAGTAGAGTATACTAGAAAGAGAATAGTGTCATGAATTACATATGAATTTGAGATCTGCACCACAACTAAAATATATTCTCTGGCAAGTTCAAACTATTGATTTTTACTTTTCTAATAAAATGGTGAGAGCATACATTCTTCCTGTTACTGATTTTAAGAAAAAAAGTTTTGTTTTTTCCAATTGAGTATGATATCAGCTATGTGTTTCTCTTATGTGGCTTTTATTATGTTGAGGTATGCTTCCTCTATTGCCACTTTGCTGCTTGTTTTTATCATTTATTAGTGATTGATTTTATCAAGTGCTTTGTCATCATCCATTGATATAATCATGTGATTTTTGTCCTTCATTTTGTCCATGTGGTATCTTATGTTGTTAGCAATCTTAAAAAAGAAGAACAAAGTAGGAGAGATCACAATACCTGATATCAAATTATACTACAAAGACACTGAAATCAAAACAGGCTGGTACTGGCATGAGAACAGAGACATAGGTAAATGGAACACAATAGAGAACCCAGAGATAAAATAAAGTCTCTATGAGCAATTAATGGACAAAAGAGGCATGAGCATACAATGGAGTAAAGAAGTCCTCTTCAATAATTGGTGTTGGAAAAATGAACTACTAAATACAAAAATAACAAAAGTAGACCAAAAATGTACACCGTACAGCAGAACTCAAAATGGATAAAATGCTTAAAGAAAAGTCATGACATCATACAAGTCCTAAAGGAAAACACAGACAGGAAAATTTTAGATATCCCCATAGCAATATTTTTTCCAATACATCTCATAAGACAAGGGAAATAAAGGGAAACATAAACAAATTGGACTATATCAAACTGAAAAGCTTTTGCATGGCCCAAGAAACCATCATCAAAATTAAACAGGATGTATGAAGGGCCCATAGAAAAAGACAATGGTGGAGGAAGATTGAATATGGGATGTGCGGGGTAGTAGGGCAGGGGAGACTAGTGAAAGGGAAATAGAGAAAACCATAATTGAATAATAAAAAAATGTTTAAAAATGAAATGGGACTGACTATATACGAAATCACAACTACCAATGATATATATGACAAGGGTTTGATCTCCAATATATAAACATATCATACAACTGAAAACCAGGAAGATAAACAATCCAATTAAAAAATGGGCAAAGGATCTAAATAGACACTTCTCCAAGGACAACATACACATGGCCCATTGACTCATGAAAACATGCACAACATCACTAGTCATCAGAGAGATGCAAATTAAAATCACAAAGAGATACCACCTCATTCCACTCAGAATGGCCATCATAAATCAACAAACAACAAATGCTGTTGAGGATGTGGGGAAAAGGGTACCCTAGTGTACTGTTGGTGGGAATGCAGACTGATACAGCCAATGGAAAACAGTATGGAATTTCCTCAGAACACTGAAAATGGAACCACCTTTTGATCCCAGGATTCGGCTGCTGGGAATACACTGTAAGGATCCCGGGTCACCAATTCAAGACAACTTATGCATCCCTGTATTCATGGTGCTGCTATTTAGAAGCCAAGTGCTGAATATAGCCTAAGGCCCATCAGTAAATGAGTGGATTAAAAAAAAATGTGGTACTTTTAGGCAACAGAATACTATTTAGCAGAAAGAAGGAAGGAACTCCTATCGTTCTTGACAGCATGGATGGAATTTGAGAATATTAAGCTGAGTGAAATAAGCCAGTCAGTGAAATGCAAATACTATATGATCTCATTTGTAAGAGGAATCTAATGAACACAATAAACTAATGAACAAAATAGAATCATAGGCATGGAAACGTGGAACAGATAGAAAGTGACCTAGGTGTTGGGAACCACCCTGCCTGGTATCAGAAGCTGTAACCACCCCCCCAACTCCCCCCGCCCCCTGCCCCCCACCAAGGCTAAGGCTAAGGGAGTGGCCTTGGACAGTAACCCAGCAAGGAGACAAAAGCTCATCTCCCTGGTGGGAGCACTGCTTCTGCTACTTCATTCATAACTGAACCCCAATGCTTGGTCGGTTAGCCAATGATGGATAAGATTCCCCAAGGGGGGAACGACCTAAGACAGGCACGATTATGTGGGAGGCCCCCAGTAAAGGTTTTTGGGGGCTACAGCAAAAGGGGGTGATGGACCCTTGCTCCTTGGCTGTGATATAGCCTGAGTCCTCATCATCTGAGAGAAAATCTCCTTATCCCTTGCCTGCCTTACTTCCCTTGCTCCACCTAAGCCTGAAACAATGACAGGGTGGTGCAGCCCTGTGCTGAAAAGGGCGGTTCCCCAGGTGATCAGGCCTAAGAAAGAATATGTAAAATCCTGTGAAAACTGCTTTGTTTAGAATGCTTTCAGTTGAATGATAAGGGTCCAAGGAGGAAGTAAGTCTGTTCTTTAAAGTTTTACAGCTCTTTGATCATGACTCAAAATAGGCCCTCAGACTTCCTTGCTATCTATTGTTTGATCCTTACTCCCCGGCAACGTTTAATGAGCTTTACCTGAATTCCTATGCAAACAAAACCAATAAAAAGCCTCTCCCGAGGGGGAACAGGGCACTCTCCCCACCAGAGAGAGTGACCATTTCATTCCTCTTTCCCCACAGGACCTGGTTGTCTCTGTGTATGTTTTTCTCCCGTGTTGACGAGCCATCCACAGCCTTCTGCGGTCACTGCCAGACAGTGATCGCATCACCTAGGGGAGGTGGTGTGGAGGTAATGGTGGAAATAGGGGAAGGAACTAGGAAAAAACATGTATGAAAGACCCAAGGACATGGATAAGAGTGGGGGAACTGACTGTGGACATGGGGGGAGGACTGGTGGAGGACTGGTAGGGCTAAGGGGGGAAATTGGGACAGTTGTAATAGAATAACAATAAATAATGATTAAAAACTCACAACAGAAAGAAGCTAAGGTATAAACAAATAATTTCAAGGTCTAATAATCCAATCATAATAGTGTTGAGTGTTGAGTTTGCCAGTGAACTGTTTGGATGAAGTCTATAACAGTTAAAGAGAAGAGAACCAAAGTGAGACATGACTATTACAAAAACAAAAAGAGCATAGAGCCAGAACATACAGTAAAAACATTCCTCTTTCATAGGCTACCTATGGTTATCCTTTGATTACTCACATTGTTTGATAATCTCTGTAAAGACTTGTTTTTATAGCAAAATCACTTTCTATTAACCATTTCTCCAGTCTAGAACTCAATGAAAAAATTTGCTAATATGTCACACCCAGATGTTTTATTTTCATTTCTTTTCATTTTTTTATTTTATTTTTGTTCAATACAGATGTCTGCCTTTTCCCCCTTCCTCTACCCCTGACCCCAGCAATTCCCACCTCCCTCCCCTGATTCCACCCCCCTTGGTTTTGTCCAAATGTCCTTCATAGCTGTTCTTGAAAAACCTTTCCCCCTTTTCCCCCATTTTCCCCGCCCACCCCCCCCCCATCTGGTTACTGTCAATTTGTTCTTAATTGCAATGTGTCTGGTTATATTTTGCTTGCTTGTTTGTTTTGTTGATTAGGTTCCACTTAAAGGTGAGATCATATGGTATTTGTCTTTTATTTCACTTAGCATGCTCTCCAGATCCATGTATGTTTTTGAATAAATTAAATTCACCATTGAAATGTGTTATTTACTGTTTTAAACATTTAAACTTTATTCTACTTTTTTCCATTACCATTTAGTCCCCTTATACCAACCTCGCCCTGCCTGCAATCACCACACTGTTGTCTGTGAGTCCTTTTTCCTTTTTGCTCAGGCCCTCCCCTTTCTAACCCCATCACCCCTGACTAGATGTCATCTACTCACCATCTATGAGTCTCTCTTTGTTTTGCCTGTTAGTTCAGTTTGTTCAGTAGATTCCACATATGAGTGAAATCATATGCTATTTGTCTTTCTCTGGCTGGCTTATTTTAGTAGCATAATGTTCTCCAGATCCATCCAGGGTATAGCAAAAGGTAAATTTTTCTTCTTTTTGGTGACTGAGAAGATTTCCATTTTGTAAATGTCCCATAGTTGTTTTATCCACTCATCTAGTGATGGACACTTGAGCTGCTTCCATATCTTGGCCATTGTAAATAATGCTGCAGTGAACACAGCAGGGCTTATGTTCTTTTACCCTTGGATATAATCCAGAGGTGGAATCTCTGGGTCAAAAGACAGATCCATTTTTAACTTTCTGAGGTGTCTTCACCCTCTTTCCCACAGAGCTGCATCAGTCTGCATGCACAGCAACAGTACAAAGGTTCCCCTTTCTCCACATCCTTGATAGCACTTGTTGTTTGTTGCTTTATTCATGACAGGCATTCTGGCAGGTGTGAGATGGTAACTCATTGTGGTTTTAATTTGCATTTCTCTGATGATTAGTGATTTTGAGCATTTTTTCTCCTATCTATTGCTCATCTGTATGTCCTCTTTCAAGAAGTTTCTATTCATGTCCTTTGTACATTTTTAACTGGATTTTTTTTTTTTGCTGTAGACTTCTTTAAGTAGTTTATAAATTTTGGATATTAACTCCCTCTCAGGTGTATTAGCAAATATGATCTCCCATTCTGTGTGTTTTTATTTTATTGATGTTTTTCTTTCTTCCAAAAACATTTTAGATTAATGTAGTTCCATCTGCTTTTTTCTTTTTGTTTTTC